TGTGTGTGTGTGTGTGTGTGTGTGTGTGTGTGTGTGTGTGTATGCCTGTGTATATGTATGCTTGTGTGTGTGTGTGTGTATATGTGTGTATATGCCTGTGTGTGTGTATGTGTATATGCCTGTGTGTATGTATGTCCGTATGTATGTATGCATGTATGTATGTATGTATATGTGCGTGCGTGCTTGCGTGCGTGCGTGCGTGCATGCTCATTCCTATGTGCATGTCACACTTGCCAGTGGCTCCAGAAAAGGATAGATGAGTATCTTGGGGTCAAGACAGCCTTCCTGTACCTCCACCCATAAAGCACATCATCAAGGTGTCACACACCCAGAGTGTCACTTCATCAAACATCATGACGTCACTCCTGATCCTTCCAGAAGTTCTTAGTATACACGGAGAATGCAGGGGCTCAAGTCAGCAGCAGGGCTGGGATGAGGGCCCAGGCATTGCATGCCTCAGAGTCCATACTCAGATTCCTCTGGGCAGCAGCTAAAACTCTAAGTCACAGATTTCAAGCACATTTCTTGAAACGACTCTTCTAGCAAGCACCAGGGCCAGAATCATGACGTGGGGATCTCCATTCTAAGTCCCTTCCTGGGGTCAGGAGGCTATGGACCATAGCACATATGACACAAAGAGGTGGACAAGCAGGGCAGCAGGAGCCCTCTGAGATAGAAGACCCCAGCCGGAATCACTTGCGGCTTACCCGGGTGCAGCTGGTACCATTGCCAACCGCTAGCACGAGGAGAGAGTACCCAGGTGGAGGGGATCTGTTTTTGAAATACTTCACTTTCCACATAGGAATTTCAACCTTTTCTGAAAACTGAAGCCAGCAGATGTGGAGCCAGGGGTGGCTAGCAAGGCTTTCTCAAGGAGAGGTTGCAGGCATATTCCTAGAGCGCTCACTTGAAAAGGATGGATGTTTTCAGAAAGGAGACAAGAAGAAATGGCACTTCTCGATTGTGTGTGATGAGTTAAACAGTTTCCTGTTGCAAAACTTATGAAGGGAAAATTGTAAGAATACCAATTATCGCTAGGAACATCACTGAGTTAACACATTATGCAAATATCTGCCCAGTAAAAGAACTCCAGCTGGACATGGTGAGTCAGAATTAGGCTCCGATTCACCCCTGCGGGGTGTTATGGTTTGGTAGAAAAGTTAAGTGTAGAAAGAATTTCATACATAATGAAA